ATCTGTGATAACCAAAATGTATTTGTACTTATCTGGTGTTGTTGGCAGGGGACCGAGAATGTCAACGTGCCATCGGGTGAAGACCTCTTCTACAGGTAGTGGACGAAGTGGTGCCTTCTTGCCATGGTAGTGCCTCTTGGTCTGTTGACATACCTCACATGTCTGGACATAAGTAGCAATATCGCTGTACATTTTGGGCCAGTAGTACTTAGGTCTCATGGTGTTGTGCATCCTTTCTTTCCCATGGTGGCAACCGCCAAACTCTGAGTCATGATAGGATTGCAGGACTTGATTTCTGAGGGTTCTTGGGACTGCCAGCTGTTTAATGAACTTGTCTGCGTGGCCTTTCTGTATTTGTGGAACGAATCTGTATAGGATGCCTTCATCAATTTCAAAAGTATTGGCTTCGATAAGAGTCTTTTGACGATCCTTTTCATTTTGTGGAAGGACATCATCCTCTTTGTAGTCAAAGATTTGGATGAAATCTGGACAAATCCTTTGTAGGTGACGTAAATTTGGATGTTCTTTTATACTTACTTCAACCAATGTGTCTTGGGTAACATCAGCATTTGTAGCATGTAAGGCTGCAACAACATTAACTGGTACTGACTGATAATCCTCTTCATATTCAAAGGTGACTGACCAATGTGTTGTTTGTGTGTCTGATTCTAAGTGATTGACAATAGGTGTGCAAATATCCTCAGTCTGATTTGTCTGTGTGACCTGTGTGGATGAATGGGTGTTTGGCAAGATTGTATTGCTAGTTGATTTGCTTTGCTGAGTTGAAGTTACTGAGAAGACTGTTTTCTCAGCATCTTCTTCTGTCTGATCATTACAGTTAATATTTTCCTCATATTCCCTACGTGAGAGAGCATCGGCATTCCCATTGGCTTTGCCGCTGCGGTAAACAATGTCAAAAGTGTAGGTAGAAAGTTCCAAAGACCATCGTCCTAACCTACCTGTGGCATCCTTGATGGATTTCAGCCACTTCAATGCTATATGATCAGTGTAGACTGTGAATTTGGAATTTGCAAGATATGGACGAAAGGATCTAATGGCTTCAACTAGAGCTAAGCCTTCCTTTTCTGTAATGCTCCAGTTCTTTTCGCTGCCATGAAGAGCTCTACCACCAAAAGCTATTGGATGTTCATTATTTTTCTCGTCTTTTTGACTCAAAACAAAACCTATGCTCATATCACTGGCATCAGTTGCGAGAAGAAATTCTTTGTCAAAATTTGGATAAACCAGAACAGGTGTATTACTCATAGCATGTTTGAGTGTGTTGAATGCCTGATCACACTCAAGTGACCATTGGAACTTTGATTTCTTTCCTACTTCTGCCTCTGAATGCTTCTTTAGCAAGGCATTTAGTGGAAGCGCTATGTGAGCGTAATTTTTCACATACTTCCTGTAGAAGTTTGTGAGGCCTAAGAAGGAGCGAATCTGCTTTTGTGACTTGGGCACTGGAAAGGTTCTAATTGCTTCAATCTTTTTGTCATCAACTTGAACACCTCCACATGATAAAACATGACCCAGAAAAGATACTTTGTCCGTTGCAAAATTGCATTTGGATGGCTTTAGTGTTAATTTTGCCTGTTTCAGATAGTAAAATACTTGCTCTAAATGTTGAAGATGCTCTTCAAAGTTTTTGCTGTAAATTATCAAATCATCAATGTAGATCAGCGCAACCTTAAAAAGCAATTTTCGTAGCACTTTGCTCATGAGCTGTTGAAAACAAAGTGGAGAATTTGTCAAACCTTGGGGCAATCGTTTGAATTGATAAAGGCATTGATGGGTGACGAAAGCAGTTTTATGCTTTGAATCTTCATGTAATGGCACTTGGAAGAAACCATTAGCAAGGTCTAAAGTTGAGAAGATCTTAGCTTGTGCATTGGCGATGTTATCAACAACATCATCAAAAACAGGAAGAGGCCATGACATTGGTAAAGTGACAGAATTCAACTTTCTGTAGTCACAAACAAATCTATATGAGCCATCACGTTTCTTGACTAGGATAATGGGAGCTGAATACATAGAAGTAGACTCCTCGATCAAATCATACTTCAGAAAATCATCTATAAGTTCTTCAGTGACTTTTTGGAGATGAGGGGATTGACGATATGGTCTACTCTTAACGGGTGGGTGGTTGCCAGTGTCAATGATATGTTGGTGCAGGTCAGTTTTACCTAAATCTGCAAGACTTGTTGAAAACATGTTTCTATTTTGTCCCAAAAATCTAAGTAGTCTGTGTCGTTGGTCTGGAGTCAGTTGTGTATTGGTCAAATCAAATCCTAACTCCTGTGCAATTTTGACATAATCCCTGGTGTCATTGTCTCTCTTCTCATTGTCGGTGTTAACGGTACTGATGAATGGTTGGTCAGAGCCGATTTCAAAAACAGAGTCTTTGTCAATGTAACTAAATTTGCCTACAACTGTACCCTTGTCAAGAACCTTTTCTTCTTGGGAGGGATTCATAAGCCTAAATGTAGCAGTCTTGCTTTTTGATTTAGAAAGAGTTCTACCGCCTGCTACTTCAGAATGAGCAGTGAGGGAAGCAATGGGTTCAATGAGGATGAGGGAATCCTCTTTGGTCTCTGGTAGTCTGACCTTGAAATGAATTTCACTCTGAGGGGGGATGTAAATCTGATCTATTGTTTTTGCTAATCCACTAATCTCATGCACTGAATTGGCTATGAAATTGATATATTGCCTATCTGAGGTGCTGTTGTTGAGTATCAAGGAATGACAGCTATAATCTAAGACTGCATCATTGTCATCAAGGAAGTTCTCACCTAGTATCACTGCCTTCGGCAGTGTAGGCAGTACATAGAATCTTTGAGAAAATTCCTGATCCTCAATGACAAAATCTAACACAACTGAACCTAACACTTTATGCAATTCGCCGCCAACACCTTTTACCTGTGGAAAGGGTGAGTTTCCAAGAGTAAGGTTTTCAAAAGCTGTGCTCAGAAAAGCAGACGAAATACAACAAATGGATGCCCCTGTGTCTACTAAACAATTTGTTGTTGTTGTGCCAAATTTTGCCTGAATTACACTTTTGGCAAGGGGCGTAACTAAAGACACTGTTGGAATTTCACTTTCAAAGTTACTTTCCATACCAGACTCCATATTTGCCATGACACCTATTAGTATGTACCGTACTAAATTAAAGGATGACAAGAAATCAACAATGTATTACTTACAATATTTGAAGACTTTTTCTTCCTTTGTTGGTGTCTTTGGAGGAGTTGGTTGTCTTTAATCCAGTGTTGAGGTCAGAGGTTGATGCAGCTTGCTTGTTATTCCATCAGGTGATCACAGTTGGACATGTCCTCCAATGGGTTCTTGTAGCTGGTCGTAGTTAGTTCCTGGACTCTGTGGTTCCGAAAACGATGATTCTCCGCCAAATTATCATGGAACTGTTCTGGGTGAACAATACCTTCCAAATGACGTGCTGGTTTTCTTGGGGAATTAGTCAGCAAAGAGCCAGAGTCACAGGAGACTAATCACAATTTTATTTACAAGAACAATTAACAATTTACAATATACTTAGATAATAACTGAGGGTGCCACAGAGAGTCGGTACACACTCTGGGCTGTGGGAGAGAGGTCTGCTTGGTAAGAGAGTCAAACCCCTTCCCTTTTTTTTTTTAAATATTTAACAAAAATTTAAACAATAACAAGGAATGTGATTGGTTGATACACGATGGGTTGTGTCCTAAGCTAAATGGATGGCTAGACAGAGGGGAATACTAAATCCTGTTTATCCTGTTGGACTGGCACTAATCTTGTTGACATATTTACTGGATGCTTTGAAAGAGATTAGGGTGTCACTATAGATGAGCTTGTGTGGGGGCTAATCCTTAATGCCCTATAGACGAGCTTGTATGGGGGCTAATCCTTAATGAGTCTTAATTGAAGTAATGTTATTCTAATGTACCCCGGTAGGTTATGACAGATATACTTAAATAAATATCCTTTGTCTGGGAGATGGGATCTTGATACCTTAGGCTAGCAAAGCTTCAAATCAATTAAACTATGTAGACGTAACTCTTGTCTTATTGAATAGTATGTCTAGATGCGCTCCCATTACCTTAGGCTAGCAACCATCTAAAAAGCTTTAACTGAAACTACTGATATTTTATATATGCATTTTACCTAATGATTATTATTACTTGCTTAACTATAATTTTATGAAATGATGTATAAATATTACGCCATGATAACTCATAAAAGCACTTGATGTAGATCTAATTATTATAAGATAACTTAGTATAAATGTTATCCCATGATATTTCTTTAAAATTTTCGAGACTATCTTGAAATTTCAAGGTACTAAGTTGAATTTTCAAGAAACTAAGTTGAAATTTCAAGATACTATCTTGAAATTTCAACTGAGTTTCCTGAAATTTCAACTTAGTATCTTGAAATTTCAAAATAGTATTGAAAAAATTAAAAACAAATGGCCCTAAAAGGCTTCCGTATATTCCATTGTGGTGGCCTGTGGTTATGTGTGCAGTGCACAGGTCACAAATCAGGCAAAGTTAAACACTTTGGTCATGGAGACCAGGTGATGGGTGACAGTAATCAGCAAGCAAGACTCCTGACAGTAACAGGGGTTTCGGTATTGCCCCACACCGAAATTATTATAATGAAGTCCTAAACTTTACATGAACCCTGGGGGCACGGGTGGCCCAGTCGTCTGAGGCACCACGATTCACTGTGCAGAGTTGCGTCCCTTGGGCACGCCAGAAACCTATGATTGTGGGTTCGAATCCCGGTTCGCCCCAATTATGTTTCTAGGTTTGTCAGCACCATACCCGTGCTCGTGGGTTTCACCGAAGTGGTAAACGTCTGAGACCTGCATCACTTTTGGGCTTTCCTCCCAAAATTAAGCTGACACGCCGTTATATAACTGGAATAATGTTAAAAGCGGCTTTTAACACAACTTACTCACTCACTCACTTACGTTAACCCAACAACCATCCCTTCCTCCTTACCATTTCCCGATGATCTTGTTCCGGTACCCGGCCTGCTGCAGGAGTTCTGGGAAGAGGATCTCCTCGTCTGGTATTCCTCCCACGATGTTCTGGGGGGTGTATGCTGATGATGGTTGAGAAATAAGAAATGGAAAATAGGTTCCACAAAAGAATTTTATTTTATTACCTTTCAATAACTGAGTATGTGATTCAAAATTTAATCTGCATTACTTCACCCATATAGCGACGAGAAGAAGATGATATATAAACAATTGTGTAATGAATACAAGTTTTTTTCAAAAATATATTTGTCTAACATATTTAATAACAATAAAAGATGCAGTTTCAATAAAAAGAGAATTTTGTCCTCAAAAGAAATGTAACCTAATCATGTTAATAAAAGGATGAAGTATCTTGTTTTTGATGAAGAATAGCTGACATAGATTGCTACTCACCGTTTCTGGCATGGTCATTGTTCGAGTAGAAACCATTCCGTATTGGAAGCCTGCCAGACAAGAGCGCTGCCCGAGCTATGGACAGGGAGATAGGCATATCATATTTCCACTGACAACTGCTTGAAATAACAGCATATGTCATTTATTGTGTTTATTTAGTGATACACTAAATAAAATGTAACAAAATATCACCTCGGTGCTGTTCATGAAGATATCCCCTCGTACTGTTCAGGAAGAATGAGTGAGCGAGTATGGCTTTATGCCGCTTTTAGCAATATTCCAGCAACATCACCAGAAAAAGGTTTCACACATTGTTCCCATGTTGGGAACCAAACCTGGGTCTTTTGGAGTGATGAGCAAATGTGTCAACCACAAGGCTACCCCACCACCCCTGATCAGGAAGATATCTTCTCAGTACTGTTCAGGAAGATATCATCTCAGTACTGTTCAGGAAAATATCATCTCAGTACTGTTCAGGAAGATATCACCTCAGTACTATGCAGGAAGATATCAATACTGTTCAGGAAGATATCATCTCAGTACTGTTCAGAAAGATATCATCTCAGTACTATTCAGGAAGATATCATCTCAGTACTGTTCAGGAAGATATCATCTCAGTACTGTTCAGGAAGATATCATCTCAGTATTGTTCAGGAAGATATCATCTCAGTACTATTCAGGAAGATATCTCAGTACTATTCAGGAAGATATCAATACTATTCAGGAAGATATCATCTCAGTACTATTCAGGAAGATATCTCAGTACTGTTCAGGAAGATATCACCTCAGTACTATTCAGGAAGATATCATCTCAGTACTGTTCATGAAGATATCAGCTCAGTACTGTTCAGGAAGATATCATCTCAGTACTGTTCAGGAAGATATCATCTCAGTACTGTTCAGGAAGATATCATCTCAGTACTGTTCAGGAAGATATCATCTCAGTACAACATACGCTCAGTACTGTTCAACAAGACAGAGCTGTTCAGACAAGTATTCAGCTCATGCTTTTCAGGCTGATATCAGGTCAGTTCAGTTCAATAAGATATCAGCTCCATACTGTTATGTATAATGACCTCGTTCTACAAAGTAATCTTCGCACTACAACTGTCGTATCTCCCAGACTGATAATGATGGTCATAGCACTATTATCTGTTTGAGGAATGTGACCCTGCTAAGTAGTTATCAATGAGTGAGTGAGTGAGTGAGTTGGGTTTAACGCCGCTTTTAACAGTATTCCAGTTATATCACAGCATGTCAGGTTAATGTGGGAGGAAAGCCCAAAGTGATGTAGGTCTCAGATGTTTTACCACTTCTGTGAAACCCACGAACACGGGTATGGTGCTGACAAACCTAGAAACATAATCGGGTCGAACCGGGATTCGAACCCACAATCAGGTTTCTGGTGTGCCCAACTGAGCCACTCATGCCCACTAGTTCTGAGATTTCTGCACAGTAATGAAGTGAAATCAGCTGGAAAAGACTATAAAAATGCCTGCAGATACAATACAAATCCCACTCTAGTGACAGATGCAATGATGAACATACAGGGCGAGCAGAGGGGGTTGGCCGAGTAGAAGTCTGGCAGCAGCATCCCATCGGCGGCCATCTTGTCTAGGTTGGGGGTCTCCTTGGCTGGGTGGCCATACACGCCCAGGTCTCCCCACCCCATCTACAACACACGGATCAAATCAGTTGAGAAGGCAGCATTTGGTTTTCTTTATCCAAGGGTATTGTAGGCGCTAGGCCCAAATACAAACAGAAAATGTACATTGGAAGTTTGAGGATCACATGTATATTATTAACAAAGATTGTCTAAGATTTTTGGATTCAACAATGAACATAGATGTTGTACAGTTGGTTGATGGACACATGACATGAAAATATTACATTTTTAGATTGTTGGAATTTCATAATATTTTCTTGGTATAAATTCTGCCCTCAGAATCTGGTAACATTTGCATATATGAATATAATGATACTCATCTTCAACATTACTATATTTACATAAATGCAAACTCGATCCAATCTAGGTTCCATTTTAGGACCACCAGATTTGATCGGAAGATGATGGGAACTACACCGTAATCTAGCCAGAGCATGTCTAAATTTCTCATATGGTAACATAGTAATATATATTTCCCGGCCAAACGTTTGCTCATGCAAAGAATAGTTACAGGATTTGAGCTTTCTGTAAGAGTTGCATATGAAGATTCATTTATAAACATGGGGATATTCATGACCCGAACAAGGCCAAAACCTGTTACTCGAATAATGCTTCTAATTTTGGAAGCCCAGTTAATTCTACCTTTCTGGAGCACCTGAAGTTGTATATTATAACATTTTTTGGCATATTACAGTTGGTCATTTTCAAGATAATACAGTAATATTTAACAGCTCTTTTATACACGTAAATACACAATGAATAACGTCTACATTCACCTCTCACAACATGATGGGAGAATGCACACAGATCTAACACTTTTTTATCATATTTGTTTACAATTTTATCACATGAGTAACTCAAAAGATGTAAACTGTCAAAAATAAAATCAAAGAAGCCTGTATCGAGACGTTCAGCTATTATCATCAGTAACAAAATCTACCTGGGTACCTGTCCGGGCATTACAATCACCTCCAAGAATAATATCTACATCATCAATTTTCTGGGTAACATCAAACAGATCTTCTTGGAACAAAGTCTGTTTGTTTGTTGTTTCACGAAACAGCGCAAATGGCCATAGGTACAAGAATTGTCAACGCGTTGTGTAATGTTTCACGAACATTTCCCCCCATTAAAACATTTTGTTTGTCATTTTGTTACGCCACACTCAGCAATATTCCAGCTACGTGACGGCGGTCTGTAAATAATCGAGTCTGGACCAGACAATCCAGTGATTGACATCATGAGCATCGATCTATGTGATTGGGATACGATGACATGCACAGTCACCTCTTCCGACAAGCAAGTGATACCACACTTGCAATACATATTATAATACCATGATGACTGATCAGGGTTAATATACATTGATAATAACAAAATATTTTTATCATTTAGCAAATAACGACTTCTCAAATAACACAAAAAACGCATTATGGCCTATGTTTATAAACATTATATAAGGTTTCAATGATTTTTTAGCACAATTCCCCCGGCCATAATGCGCAGTTGTTACTTCTTTAACATTTAAATACATATAATCAAAAAATAAATCTTTGAGGTCAATATCCTTGACCCAGGTCTCTGATAGGCCAATAATTCCGTATCTGTGGAGAAATGAGATAAAGTCATTATCAGATAACTTTGTTAGCAAGCCATTCACATTCCAGAAACATTCATGATACGTGAAGCCTACTTGGGAAATAGTTTTTGCGAGTTTTGCGACTCCTGTATGTCCAGAAAAAAATGTGTCACTTTATTAATGTGTTTTTCGTTTTTATTTCATACTGGAATTAATATCATGATTTTAACCTGTGTGAGCGAGTGAGTGAGTGAGTGAGTGAGTGAGTGAGTTGGGTTTAACGCTGCTTTTAACAGTATTCCAGTTATATCACGGCTTGTCAGCTTAGTGCTGGAGGAAAGCCCGAAGTGATGCAGGTCTCAGATGTTTACCACTTTGGTGAAACCCACGAGCACGTGTATGGTGCTGACAACCCTAGAAACATAATCAGGGCGAACCGGGATTCGAACCCACAATCATAGGTTTCTGGTGTGTGCCTAAGGGACGCAACTCTGCACAGCGAATCGCAGCACCTTAGACGACTGGGCCACCCGTTCCCCCGATTTTAATTGGAACAACACCAAGTAATACACATCATCATAAACAAAAATAAAAAATGCAACAGCTGATCAGCATATCTGTTCTGTCATTGTGCCAAAGAAAGCAATCTCACATTTGGTCTATTTATGACGAGTGAGTATGGTTTTATGCTGCTTTTAACAGTTCAGCAATATCACGACGGGGAACACCAGAAATGGGCTTCGGACCCTGGGCCCCACCTTGGATCCACCAATGATATGCATGATCAAAGCAAGCTGGACACATAACCATGCGTTTAGTGGGGATGCCCTTCAAGATTTGTTCCTACGCAGGAGAAGCAAGTGCATTAGTCTACCTCATAGAGATCTGACCACAGCCAACATCAGACAGACCCTGCGTTCATACAGACCGCCTCATGGGCACCTACAAGTTTGTTTGTTTGTTGTTTAATGCTGCTCTCAGCGATAATCCAGCTATATGACGGCGGTCTGTAAACAATCAAGTTTAGACCAGACAATCCAGTGATTGACATCACGAGCATCAAACCACGCATTTTGGATACAATGACATGCATCAACCAAGTCAGCAAGCCTGACCACCCGATCCCATTAGTCACCTCTTAAGACAAGCATAGTCGCCTTTTATGGCAAGCATGGGTTGCCGAAGACCTATTCTACCCCGGATCTTCAAGGGTCGGCACCTACAAGATGGATGTTGTGTCCAAGATATCTCATCGCGACTTAGTATTTACTTTAATAAGGATACTATATGAGTGTTTATGCCTTACTATGTTTACGACACAAGTGTCTAAATTCCGGTATTTCCCCGAGCGATATCAAGGGAAATACCAGAATTTAGGCACAAGTGTCATAAACAGAATGACATCAACACTCATATAGTTCTATTTATTACCGAAGAAAATGTCTACACACAGAGACAAATTTTAGTGTCTAACTATAAGGACAGCAAGTCGCAAAAGCAGCGGAACCACAGCGAATGACAACAATCTTCTAGTGTTTCTTGTGTGACAATAAGATTTTAATGACGTCAACAATGCCATCCGGATGACGGAAACAATACACTGTTGTCTGGTGATGTGATATTACCCTAGGGCACATGATTTATAGTCCATGACAAGTAACTTCCACCTGATTACAGAACACAGATCCCTGCATAGCAAAATATGCAGAAACAAGACAAGCATGTAATACATTCACAACGTGTTATTAATGCCATCGTGCTTGGGTTGGTTGGTTGGTTTGTTGTTCAACGCCACACTCAGCAATATTCCAGCTATATGACTGTGGTCTGTAAATAATCAAGTCTGGACCAAAATCCAATGATTGATATCATGAGCATCAATCCACGCAATTGGGATCGATGACATGAATCAACCAAGTCAGCAAGCCTGACCACCCGATCCCATTAGTCACCTCTTACGACAAGCATAGTTGCATTTGTGGCAAGCATGGGTTGCTGAAGACCTATTCTACCACAGATCTTCAAGGGTCGGCACCTACAAGATGGACGTTGTGTCCAAGATATCTCATCGCGACTTAGTATTTACTTTAATAAAGGATACTATATGAGTGTTTATGTCTTACTATGTTTAAGACACAAGTGTCTAAATTCCGGTATTTCCCCCGAGCGATATCAAGGGAAATAGAGGTTAGTCACCCGTGGTTAGTCACGTGATATATTGTTTAATGACAAAAAGTATCTAAAACTCTATGTTTAAACTACAAGTCACTAATGTTCACAGTTCTTCATGACCACTACGCCCATTCCTTCTGACTTTTAAATGTTTTAATGAAAATAAAACTTCAGTCAACTTCAGTATATAAACCAGTTCGTTTTATACATGTATCTGAACACATTTTACCTGAGCTAGGGGACACCATAAATGGGCTTCACACATTGTACCCATGTCAGGAATCGAACCTGGGTCTTTGGCGTGACAAGCGAACACTTTACCCACAAGGCTACCCGACCACACCTAGCTGAGAAGGGGATACGCACAGGCTTCTCTAGTCCTCGCCACTTGAAACAGAATCACTAAATACAGCTATGATTAATGAATGAAGACTACTGCAATTGAATTGATACTCAAAGTAAAAACAACGCATTCAGTAAATAAAGAAAATTACTTACAGCAATGATGAAAATTGAAAATTGCACTTTTTCAAGAAATATCTAATTTGTAAGTGATAAACATCTGGAGTTTTTAACAAGTTTGTTTGTTGTTTAACGCCACACTCAGCAACATTCCATCTATATGACAGCAGCCTGTCAATCCAGTGATTGACGTTATGAGCATCGATCCACGCAATTTAGATACGATGACATGCATCAACCAAGTCAGCGACCCTTACCACCCGATACCCTTAGTCGCATCTAGATGCAGCCTACTTTTATCGATGTCATTTTCAGCTTGTAATACATCTTTACAACTACATGTCTTTCACCATATGAGGGGTCTAATCCTACTGTGAATAAATATGAAAGTAATGCTCATGACATAATTTATGCATTTATAACTTAATTAAGTTATCTTTTTATAAAAGAAATTAACTGACACATTCATAACGTCAAGATTAAGCACCAATTATGTCAATTTTCAGCAATTTTAAGATTTCATAATAGAGCAGTTCACTTAGTTTTCTTTCATTTTCATTACTATTTTATCGGTAAATGCTGACAAAAACAATTTTAAGTACAATCTATCATCACATATTTCCCAATAATAGTGGCTTTCTGCTCGGTAACATTACGTATGTCTAAAATATGGAAGTTCATTGACATATCGTGCAAGGTTATGACCTGACAACAAATTTCTCTTGTATATATATTTTGGCAATATAAATTGTGTCCGAGCTGAAAAAAATTGAGACTACAAATGCCGAGATGTCATTTGACTTACATTACACGATCACACAAAAAGATGGGAATAGTAACTTGGATGTCAGTTTGACAATTTTTAGAAATATGTTATATTTATTACTTTATTTAATTTACTTAGGATATGCTTGAAATGTCATAATATCACTGTTTGACATGGTCAGTATGGACCATATGTCGAAGCATGTGTCCCAGATTATAATTGTTTTTCAACTACATTGCGGAAAACAGTTCATTATTTTAAATCTTTTGATAAAATATGATAAATTGAAATGAAAGACGTATTATCTGACTTCGCAAAATGTGATAGATTTAATAAATAGATAAGACAGGTATGTTCATGAAACATATATTACTCTGAAATGCCTACGGTGTGGCCGGTACACCGGCCTGTGGTGTTGAAAGAGTTAACATGTGGAGTACTTTGAAGCTGGACTCAGTTTCACAAAACAATCTCAGTGCTATGATTAATTTACCATGCTTTCAGTTTAAACTTGAAATTTAAAACTATCAGCCCCCCCCCCAAAATCTGTTGGCCTATGTCTATTTCAAACACTGACTGCAACTGACTACTGATGAAACTTCTGTTTGACCCTCTGTAAACCAACAATATAAATCGATCATGTGTAGATTTGCATACACAATGATACGGCCATCTTCCCGAGGCAAGGGAATTAACTGACTATAAAAGTTCAGTTTACACCCTTGCCGAACTAGGCTGGTATTATGGAGTTACATTTTGGCTGGACTAACGAGTTAATGCATAGTCCAATCAAAATCACGCACCGAAATAGAAATCTGGTTCGTAAACCGTCGTGCAGATTTCGGTAGATTGCAGGATTTGAAAAGCATGTGCACTGCCAACTCGTTGTAAGCAGATATTTTCAAATCTTTTCATGTTTTTAATCAAGGTACTCACAGGGTTTGATGCATTTCGCGATGTAAGACACGTTTTATCACAATATAGATCTTGATTATCGATCAGATCACCTCACCAGGCACCACCATTTTGTGTGAAGCAAATGCAAGTGATACGAGAGGTGGAATCTCATTGGTCCATAGGTAGAGGCTTAGAAGGGACATAACTGGTAATAGCCACTTGTGGCGCTACGATCGAGCTCAGTAATTCCAGCTAAGTTGGGCAAGGGTGGAAACTGGACTTTTTTAAGTCAGTTCACTCTCTTGCTCAGGAAGATGTGATACGGCTTACAATGTGTGATGTTAATGTGCAAACGATGTCATCATCTGGCATGACAATGCACAGAGGGAATCTGGGAAGGGTCACCAAAATACATGACTGTCTCTAGGGGAGAGTCACACAAAATAATACACACATATTTGGGAAGGATCATGTAAAAATTGACATTTTATCTTCAAGTGGGGAGGGTCATGATAAAAACATACAAAGACATGGGAAGGGTCATCCAAAAATATGACAAGCATGTCATGAATTTTATGGTATTGTCATTGACAATCCATTCTTCAGATAAGTAGATCATGAGTAGATCATGTACATAACGGATGATTGATAGATAACAATGACACCTTGACACACTAATACACACACATCTAGTTCACTCACCTTCAGTACAATAAACAATGGTACAAAAAATGCTGAACTCATTGAGGAAATATGTAGTCTATATTGGAACAAGCACACTGTCGCAGGCACTGGATTGGTTGATTAAAATCATGGTGTTTTTACATTATTATTATTATTATTATTATTATCATCAAAGTGAATTTGTACCACATGTAATACATTGGCTAAATGCCCTTCAATGTAAGTACTTTTATTGAATGTGACAGAGGCTAAAATTAATACAATAATTCAAGAATGGTTTCAATATTTGTGACAAACATGTCACAATTTTAACTATGTATGTGTAGAGAAGGCGGCTTAACATAACTAAGACATTATTACAGCTGATATCAACCATAATAATGTCTTAATTACAAAGTATAACAATATCAAGCAAGTTTTTCATTCCAATAAAGGTTTATAAACGTGCAGTATTTAGATTTGTCATACCATGACTTGAGATGTGTTATTTCAGAACAAAACATACTTGGCTTTTCAAGAATGAAAATAAATCCTTTTCGAATTCTAAAATTTGATATCGTCTCAAAATATCATATATACATAACGCAGACTGATATATTTAACAGTGACTAATTCCGCTCCAGTAATCCATATATTGATCGGACTCGTGTACAATCATGTGACAGACAACAATAAAATGATCATAACAATCCATGGTCTGCTGCTGAAAATGCGGAACTTAAATGACAAAACCGCTATAAAACACAGCAAAAATGCAAGTTTGTACTTACGTCATCCATCAACATTATGACAAAGTTTGGTTTCCCGGCTGCATGGCAATTGGCAAAGAAGAGTGCAGCGATAATTGCACAGCCAAGAGGAGACGTCATTTTGTTGACACTGATCATCGGCTGGTCGTGCAATCAATGGTTCAAATCATCCGCTTGGCTCTGTCATGTGCTTCGAAACTTGTCACGCCCACTTGCCAAAGGTAGGTAACTCCCATTTACGCACCAATGCGCCGACCATTAAAAAATCATTCACTGAACCGTTTCTTCATGGGCGTGTTGCCGCTGGTCATTCGCATGAGGACACACAGTCGAGGCTGTATAGATATTTCTGAGCTTATGATATGACACTTTTGATATTTTTGTACATTGTTGGATTAATTAACTTACTGGAAAACTTGCTTCAATTCGATGCTTAAAATGAGAGAAAAAGAAATCGGTAAAACAAGAGAACACAGCGCTTAGTACAAGTTACTAACAATTTCGCTGTTTATATTTGCGTGTTGATATCGGATGACCCGATCCTCTTTGGTTCGAATCCCAAGGTAACTCCGATTATGTTCCTTGGTTTACCATGCCCCGCTCGCCGGTTTCACCAAAGTGGTGAACGTTTATAAACAAGGCCCGCATGGTCTCTGTTTACCCCCACAAAAAACCGTGACATTAATGCTACTCAATGCGACGCTGAACCTAACTGTTTGTTTGTTGTATAACGCAGAACTCAGCAATATTGCAGCTTTATGACAGCGGTCTGTAAATAATCGAGCCTGGACCAGACAATCCAGTGATTGACATCATGAGCATCGATCCACGCAACCAAGTCAGCGAGCCTGACCACCCGATCCCGTAAGTGTCTTACGACAAGCACTGTCGCCTTTTATGGCATGCATGGGTTGCTGAAGACCTATTCTACCCCGGTTCTTCACGGGTATTAAACCTAACTGACTTCACAAGCATAATGAGAACCACGTATCGTCTTATTTGATCAATGAATTTAATTAACCGCGTACGATATACTGTAATATAGTTTATTGCAAGTTGACGATTAAAAAAACATACAAATGCGAGATATAGTCACAACGTTGGCAACATGTCAGATGATATGTGGGTAAACGAAACAAATCCTCTCCTTTTCAAAGAAAGGACAATATGTAGTTTGACGTCAACACACATCAACCAACGTAAAATACTCAAATATCAAGTTCTTGTTTGTTGTTTAACGCCACACTCAGCAATATGATCATGGTCTGTAAATAATCAAGTCTAGAATCCCGACAATATTGTTATTAACAACAAGAGCATTGATTTACGCAATTGTAATACGACATGCATCAACCAAGTCAGCTAGCCTGACCACCAAATCCCGTTAGTCGCCTCTTACGACAAGCATATGTTCGCCTTTTAGACAAGCATGGGTTGCTTCAAATTACAAGTGGCCATGCCGCTGTTTGTTCCTTTTGTAAATCACCAGAGAACGTGATAGAATATAAAATAATCCACGTTGACGCCAGTGCGTAGTTAATTAGATGCTCTTGGTTAATTGCCGCTTGAGGTACCGGGACTTCACGTTTAAGCCCCCTCGTTGTTAAGCCCCTGGGCTTAAAATGTTAAAATAAAATGCTTTTAAGCCCATGAGATTTAATTAAATTCAAAATTGATTTGTCTCCCATTCCGGATATTTAACTTGTGCTGTAGCACGCCTCTTTATGGCAAACTAACATATTGCACTTAATTGAGCACCGTTAAAGATTTCCACATTTACAAGATGCATTGGGCCCTTAAAACAGGTCATATGCGTTTAAAATGTCATACTATATGACACGCATAACTGCGATATTGGCTTGTTGTTACATTTTTGACAGGTGCCATACATGCCATGACGTGCACATGCATGCACTGCTAATTATGACATAAAACATCCACTCGCCCACTCAACTCATCTTCCCGAGGCATTGGAGAGTTAACTGACTTTAAAAGTCCAGTTTCCACCCTTCCCGAACTAGGCTGGAATAACTGGGCTCGATCGTAGCGCCACCTGTGGCTATTGCCAGCTATGTCCCTTCTGAGCCCCTCCTATGGACCAATCAGATTCCACCTCTCGTATCATTTGCGTTTGCTACACACAAGATGGTGGCGCCCAGTCAGGACGATCTGATCGATAATCAAGATCTATATTGTGATAAAACGGGTCTTACATCGCGAATTGCATCAAATCACGCGAGCACCTTGATTAAAAACATAAAAAGATTTGGAAAATATCTGCTGACAACGAGTTGGTGGTGCACATGCTTTTCAAATCCTGCAATCGACGGAAATCTGCACGACGGTTTACGAACCGGATTTCGATTTCGGTGCGCGATTTTGATTGGACTATGCAAGGACTCGTTAGTCCAGCCAAAATGTAACTCCATAATACAAGCCTAGTTCGACAAGGGTGGAAACTGTACTTTTATAGTCAGTTAATTCCCTTGCCTCGGGAAGATGACTCAACTGTGCATGTACTTCAAGCTGTTAATTGCGTGTATAAACATTCAGTCAGCCATCATGTTATTTCAAAAATGAATATACATTTTTAAATAACTGCATGCATACCACATACCGCTTATTACAGTCAGCAGCATCCCGGCTATACTGAACAAAAAAAGTTAGGGATCACGAAGATTTGCGGGGATAATTTTTTGTAGCGAAGCTTGAGCACATAATTTCATAATATATTCATGATCCCTAACTGTTTTGTTCAGTATATATTATAATGGACTTTACATTTACATCCGTTACAGTATACAAGACAAAATGAAACAAGTATCATTTCTAAACTTGGCTGAACATGCCCTTGTCTGATGTTTTGCGCAACAATCACTTAGGGCGGCCTGTAAACCGTCCCGGTCAGGCAAACAGGTGGCTGAAGGCATGAGCAACGGACCACTCCCTCGGGACACGATGACACGTAAATCGCCCATTGGTGACCAACTCATGTTATTCCGGGACTTGCCGAATAGCGACTCGTGGCCCGATTATTAAATCCGGAATTAAGTGTAACATGTGAATTTGGGACTATAGTTACAGACTTCATTGAAAATCACACTTGTGAAAACTGCGAACACTTCCCATTTACTGACTAGTTGTTGTCAAGTGTTATCACAGATACAGAGATTACTGATGCTATCACAGGCTTAAAACAAGGCAAAAGTCCAGGCGAAGATGGTATTCCTAACTCCTTCTATAAACTGTCACAGCCATATTTTACACCGTACTTGAACATTTTATTCAATAAGATATTTGATACAGGAATATTTCTGATAATTGGAATATAGGCATGATTATCCCGTTATATAAATCTGGAAATACGAAGGACACATCAAATTATAGGGGAATATCCCTTTTGAATACAACTGGCAAACTATTTACTACAATACTAGAGAATAGGCTAAGATTATAGATGGAAATAAACAACTTGATATCTGAAGCGCAAGCCGGGTTCAGACAAGAATATTCAACTACGGACAACATTTTTACTCTGCAATCTCTTGTTACTAAATATCTCTCTAAACCAAAAGGAGGATTTTATACTGCCTTCATAGACTTTAAAAAGGCCTTTGACTATGTCGACAGAAAAAAACTACTATATGCCCTACTCCAGAAAGGCTGTCATGGTAAAATGTATGTTATTCTTAAAGGTATGCTTAGCTATGTGAAAGCATGTGTTAAAGTAGATTCAGTTTCATATTATAAATATCTGGGGGTAATATTTTCTTCTAGACTGATTTGGACGAAATCATGTGAGAACCTGGCAGCTCAGGCTGTTAAGGCATGCATCCGTGTTTATAAATTATTCCAAAAAAATTCATTCTTATCATTCTCCACAGCTTGTAAAATATTTGATTGTAAAATAAGTCCTATACTTTTATATGGTGCAGAAATTTGGGGACTAAGGTATTTTGCATGTATAGAGAAAGTTCAAACTTCATATTTTAAATATTTTCTTGGTGTAGGTAAATATGCCTCAAACACAGCTATCTTAGGGGAAACTGGCCGCCACTATATGTTTGTCCAGAGTCAGATCAGAGCTATAAAATATTGGCTAAAATTATTGCACATGGGATCAAATAGATATCCTGTACAATGTTATTACTTCCTTAAAAAGCTAGATGAGAAAAGTAAGCACAGTTGGGTGACAGATCTTAAAAATTGTTTATATGTTAATGGTTTTTCATATGTCTGGGACTACCAAAATGTTGGTGATGTAAATATTTTTTTGTATCAATTTCAGGAAAGACTAAAAGATGTTGCATTTCAAAATTGGTTTGCAAAATTGTCTGCTTCCAAATATTTATCTCATTATTCAAATGTTAAATCTTTGCTGAATGTAGAAAAATATATTGATTCTTTGCAGGATAAATCTCTGAGAAGAACCTTTTGTAAATTTAGGATTAGCTTACATAATTTTAATGTTCAGTTACTACGTAAAAAACCCTCATATAATGAAAATAGTGTATGTAGATATTGTAACAAGGGTTGTGTTGAAAATGAAGACCATGTCTTTTTCACTTGTGATTATTACCAGACTTTACGGAAACATTATATTACTCAACTACAGGATATGTATGACGGTTATCTGTCACTTCCAAATATTCTTAACTGCAAAAATGTCAGTGTAATAAAACTGACTTCTGTATACCTGTATAAGATATTTAAATCTAGAAAAACGTGACTAAAGTTATATTGTACTGACATTGTAATATAGGCCATATGGCCCACATTACCGAATAAATCTGTCTGTCTTGACTCGTGGCCCTTTTGCGACTGGGTTCCGTCTAAGCGCAAACGGCCATAGTTACAAGAACTGTCAACTCGTTGCGTAATGATTGACGAATAACACCCCCCCCCCCCCAACCCCATAAAGGGGTGATAAATAAAGGAGTGATGCTTGATTATTTCCCCGGGGTATAGTATTCATATTACAAGACAGAGCATCACACTGGTCGTCAACACAACACAAATTAAACCATCGCCGAACAACATGAGTTTAAGGGGAGGCTGGGTTGAGGATAACTTGAACCCACATTCAATATTCTCGTAAATGTACCCATGCCGGATTCCGCTTCTCGCGAGTTCGAATTAGATCCGCCATGTTCAGGACCCATGGCCAAGCAGCACCATACAGGTGCATTCGTCACCACTCGCCCCTTTCCGTAACCTGCAAGAAGACTCGGCTTGTCCCGGAATAACACTAGTTGGTCACGAATGCATACCCGTGCTCACGAGTTTCATCAAACTGTCTTCGACCTGTGATACCTCGGGTTTTCCACGTGTGCTTTAAAGTACTGTTCGCGGTGTTAAAGTCACTCGCTATCTTCTAGTGATCCAGGGAGGGTCAGCTCATTCCGGGCGAGAAATCTCCTCAGCCATGACTTAGAAGCCTTGAAGTTGCCGCCCACGACCTGCCTGGCGTATTCCTGGAGCTGATTCCCTGAGAGGGGGAGCTCCAGATCCCTCCGCTCCCAAACATACACTACTATCTTGTCTTCGGTGTGCTTCCTGGAAGAGAGGTACGTATAAGTTACAACACGTGTGATTATTGATTGACGCCATATTCAGCTACATGGCGGTGGTCTGAAAATGATCGAGTATGAACCAGACAATCAAGTGATTGACATCATGTGCATCTATCTACGCTGTTGGGATACAATGACATGAATCAACCAAGTCAGCGAGCCTGACCACCCGATCCTGTCAACGCCTCTTACGACAAGGGTTTGTATAGTCTCTCTTACAGACCCTGTGACAAATATATCAAATATAGCCCATGCAAGTCTATAATGTTTGGCAAGTCTAGATTACTGCAGTATCCCTGGGCTCCTTTTCATTATATTTTTCTTAAGATAGATAAAACTCTTTTTTTCTGTACGATATGTTCATTTCACAATTTCATTAAACAACAGCGAGAACTAACATCTGATTTAATGAGATTGATTCATTTTAGAGACTAGATGTTGGTCGCGTTTGTTGTCTGATAGATATTCCTGTATCATGACTGTAAAATATACATATATATCCATATATGTATACATGAACACTAAACCAATGTAGATTAAAAAGGTAAGTCTAGTCTCGGCATCAGGAAAAAAGTAATGGGTTGCTGAAGAACAATTCTAACCGGATCTTCACGGGTTATATAACACTCTGAAGTATATGTAAGATAAAACACGTATGAAGTTTGTGGGAATCGCAAGGCTACCTCATTTCATTTATCCACTGATTCCATCCTCGACTGTCCAGGGAATTATATCTCCTTTCTATTATGATTTTTACCCTGGACCCTTTCGCCACCGCGTCGGCATGACCATCTCCTCTAGATCTCTTATCACTAATCTAGCATAAAAATTCTCTCTCGTTCGTGAGTTTGAAATCACCAACCGATCAAAACGATTGGTCAAGTTGGTAAACGTCAGGCAAGTTACTGCTTATGGAAATCATTTCAGCCACACTTTGATTTGAAACCCAGGCATCATTCACTTGCCTTTATTTCTTTGTTATACAATAAAAACGATTGTTTCTTCACAAACGTGAATCCGGGGTAGAATAGGTATTCAGCAACCAATGCTTTGCGTAAATGGCGAATATGCTTGGCGTAAATGGCGAATATATGCGAAATATATCAGGCCCGCTGACTTGGTTGATGCATGTCATCGTATACAAATAGCTTGGAGGGGGGCAGGGGTGGCCCAGTTGTCTAAGGCGCTGCGATTCGCTGTGCAGAGTTGCGTCCATTGGCACGCCAAAAATCTATGATTGTGGGTTCGAATCCCGGTTATGTTTTAAGGTTTGTCAGCACCATACCCGTGCTCGTGGGTTTCACCGAAGTGGTAAACGTCTGAGACCTGCGTCACGTCGGGCTTTCCTCCCACATTAATCTGACACGCCGTGATATCACTGGAATACTGTTAAAAGCGGCGTTAAATCAAACCCACTCACCAATAGCCTGGATCGATGCTCATGTCAATCACTGAATTGTCTGGTCCAGACTCGATTATTTACATACCGCCGTCATATAGCTGGAATATTGCTGAGTGCGGCGATAAACAACAAACAAACAAACAAACAAACAAACAAACACAAACTTGAATTAACATAATTACCCGTAAACCCTGCCTGACCCAACTGTGCGCTCTGGTTTGTGTGTGGAGGAGGGGCTCTGGTGTAGGGTGGTTTTGGCAGGACTCTTTTGTTCCTCCGTCAACGCCAGTGTCTCCATCTTCCCAGCATGGCTGTGGCGACGATACTTCTTCCTCTTGTGTGTAGACACTGTCTGTGGCGTTGTCGAGTTGTCCTCGAGAATCGGCGGCGGATCAGAGGTTGTCACTGCGATGACGCCGAAATCTTTCTGCCATGTTACAAATTAGCCTATTGTGTTCATGTATGTGTACTCCAGTGCAACATGAAGAAAGTATATTTATGTTGAAGGATCTTGTCATGAAATATAACTTTCCAGACATTCCAGAGATCAACACTCACTGCCGAGCTGGACACATTTTAAGGCAGTATCATATATTAGTATAAACAAACAAATCTAGTGTCTAGCCGGTATGAGGAGAATAAAGTTTGCATTACAAATATACATTGTATTTAAGTCTCTTCAAAATCTACAATCTGGTCAAAATAGACCTGCTGTCTAATGTTTGTTTGTCAGCGAGCCTGTTCACTGATTGGTTGTCAACAACATGTCTAAGCGGTGTTGTAATTGCGGCAGGTGCTTAGAGATTCCATGATTTTTACATACTTTCTGCGATTTTTAAAAGGAAGATGAAGATGGCCCTTAATTCTCCCTCTGGGATTATTTATAAAAAAATAAATCAAATAATCTTGAAATATGAAATATGAAATTATCAGACATGTCCATGACATGACATAAGCAAGAACAAAAGTATGTCTCAGATGTGTTTAACATTTTAGTCTTCACAACAACATATGATTCGTTACTTGCGGACAGGGCCCATTTTCCCACATTTTGTTTTCGTCAACACAATCACCCAAGAATTTTGTTTAACCCCTCTTATGGGCAGACCATCACTCTCACTCGCTCATTCAACCCCCAAATAACCCCATGAAGAACTGGCGATATTCTCCATTGTTTACACAGATCAGAGACCATAAAATAGATGGTCTCCGCACAGATGTTTGTCTGTTTGTTTGTTGTTTAACGCCACACTCAGCAATATTACAGCAATATGACAGCGGTCAGTAAGTAATCAAGTCTGGACCTGACAATCCAGTGATTGACGTCATGAGCACCGACCCACGCAATTGGGATTGATGACATGTATCAACCAAGTAAGCGAACCTGACCACCCGATCCCGTTAGTCGCCTCTTAGTAAGTCTTACGACAAGCATGGGTTGCTGAAGACCTATTCTACCCCGGATCTTCACGGGTCGCACAGATGTGATAGATTATCTAATACCCCGTTCACATGCACAACATTTACTAACGTAAGTAATTTTACATATGTGTAACTATACATACGTACGTATATGTATATGTACTCTGCGTTCACATGAAAAGCATCTTAGGTGTGTAAATAAAGTATGTAAATTGTGTAAGGCACACATATTCGTCAGTCTGTTCACGACTTTCAACACAAAACAGATTGTTTTCCAATCAAAGTTAAATGAGAACAGAGTTACTTCACCGAACGTTTCCGCGTGAAGCAACGTGTCTGATTTAATTTGTACACAAAGTTTTAACCAAAAGAAACCAAAAGATAACACCGTCCGCTCTATTCTGTACATATGCATACAAGTTGGCAACTGTTGACAATTTGTTTGGTGTTGGCTAAAGAACAGATATTAACCAGATCATCCTCTTACGTTGACATAAACGTTCACATTACAACATATTTGCACCTGCTCCAGACACGATGCAAATTTGCTCCTGGTGTAAATATACACACATGAGTAAACGCGTTCACATGTTGTACTCATGTATGTATATTTGCACATGCAAATATACACACAAATGTATAGAGGTACATGTGAACGGGGTATTCGTGTTATACTCTGCAATGAATAATGGAAATATGCAAGAATACATTTTTTACTGCTTTGAACGGCGTTATTTTACTTGCACTTGCCGTTAAGGACGACAATATTTCCATCTTATAAAACATTACCTCTACTTCAATAGCTGTTTCGGAGAGGGCTCTTTTTCTGCCAGACCGGCGTTTGGTTTTAGCAGTGTAGGATCCAAGCTGCTTCGCTTGAGGAGTCACCTCAACACGCTGAGCGGGGGTCAAGAGCGCTTCCATGTCATGAACATGCAGTTTCAAACGTGTGTGTTTTTTAGGGGGAGTATACTGTATGTATAGGATAGACCACTCGGATCCAAGGTTTACTGTTGAATTCGTCAGTTAAACCTCGAGGGGAGGATTAAACGAATCGGGCCTGAGTGGTCTATCCTGTTTCAACCAAGGTCTGCGTTCATTCAAAAGCCCAAGCAACTCACGTGTTTAAGCAACCTTGTTTTGATAATAATGTATAAAAAGATTGCCAAGAACTGTCGGACACGTGTGATCACACCTGCATGGTGCACGTGAAACACGTTCCATGTGCACTTCGCACGAGAATCTCGCGCTTATCGATCACCTAAATATTACTTGCCCATGCTCATGGGCCGATTATGAGCGAACTTAGCCCTGATCGAGAAGGGAGTCACTTAAGTAAGAGCTACCAAACGTAGTTCAGTGTATAGAATAACATATTAGGAAAATATGTCCTTGCTCTTTCCACATGATGTCTTCCATGTTGTGACAGAAGACAACATGAGTTCGCCATCAGCGCGAACTTCGTGGCTTCCAATCCAGCTGGCAATAGTTTTTTTCGTAAAATTGTTAGCGGCCATAAAATTTCCGAGTCTCGTGAAGGGAATCGAACCACGGACCTTCTGATCAGAGGTCGGACGCCTTGTCCACATGACCAAAGTGGTTAACCCTGTCAGCAGGCTGACACGGTAAGGATGTCATCTGTGGGATGACCCCACGCCCTGCTACATACTCCCCCGTCAACAGAAGCCACGTTCCGGGCCGCATAGTAGGGTACTGAGGCTTATTTTGCTCAAATTTAATATGACCATGCTCAGCCCCACGTTGGGCGCCACTGTAAAATGTCCGAGGCCGTGATGGGATTCGAACCACGGACCTTCTGATCAGAGGTCGGACGCCTTGTCCACATGACCAAAGAGGTTTAACCGTCAGCAAGCTGACAATGTAAGGATGTCATCTGTGGGATGACTCCACGCACTTCTACACAAGGGAAAAAGAACTCCCATCATTGCCAAGTGGTGACAGGAACTTGACTGTGTTTCCTGTCATTTGAACCATAAACATACCACCATGATTTCGATAAGACTTACATTGACTCCCAGGATATATATACAGATGGAACTAGATCAATTAACATGGGGAAATGGACAAAGTTTGACAAATATTTTATCACGTTAAATGCTACATATTAAGAAATGGAAATTGTGCAGTAAGGGAATATTACAACTAACGACCACGTTCCATTGTCTTTAGACTGCCAAGGGTCAACCCGATAACGGATATCGGACAGGACCCGCATCTCTCATGGTGCTGGTCTGATAGAGTGAGGCAAAGAAATATAAGACGTCAATGTCCTTATCTGCATCTACAGCTGTTTAGCATCCAACCTTGTCAAATCACCCGTACCACGTATACATTCCGGGCATACGAGCAACTTGAAAACTATTATTTTTACTAAACTTCACTCATAAACACCTTTATAATCAATGCCTCGGTCAAACTAAATTATATAATTTATCAAATATATATATATACATTATCAAACATTTAGTTTCTCTTAATGATTCTAACAATTTTCATGATCTTTATTCATAAAAAACGTTTACAATAGCCACATTAACATACATACACAAACATAATAAATAATCATTAATATAAATATTTATCAAGTAATCTTCATTCATCAATGATCTTTATTCATAAAAACGTTAACAATAGTCATGTTAACATCCATACACCAACATAAATATTTATCAAGTGATCTTCGTTCATCAATGATCTTTATTAATTAAAACACTCGTTCTTCATGTTCAATAAATACATCATAGTTTCAGTCTCAAATTTCATTCACAAATGTCACCACACACCAAAAAGGTTTGCCACATGATCAACATATATTTTGTGTTTTCATTTTAAATCATATAAGCTTAATCTCCTCATCTGTTTACTGCTACCATCCGTTCACCCCTTAATTAGTGAGTAGTCATGGTTGTGTGGTAGCATATATTCGACCGATCGGGACAAACCCAGACAATTTTTTTCTACAAATTGAAACATTTTAATTTCAGAAATTCGACGTATTGGGTGGAAACCGTAAATTCATAGAGATACTCGGAAAATATAAGATGTGTTGCCAAGGGACAGATATGTGATGGTTTAAATGAGATTGCCTCAGTTGCACATTATATACTGAACCGCAAAAGAAACGCGAGTACTGTGTGACTGTGAAATATGGTTTATTCACAAAGCGACAGAGAGGTCAATTATGATAAGTCTGAGACAGTTCATGTTTTGCATGCACATTGACCACAGTCCATGGAACGTTCTTGCAAGTTCTTGCTTTGGGCCGATCACACACATGGAAATGGTGGGGTGGGAAATGTCAGTACCTCGTATGCCCTCCCTAGGGGTTCAACACAGCCATACACCTACGGTACATGGAGTGTAGCAAGCGGTTCACGAAGGCCATAGGCACCTGTGCCCACACCCTGACGAAAGATGCCTTCAGATCAGCACGAGTTCTTGGTGTTGGTACCACCTGGTTCAGCCGTCTCTGTATTTCATCCCACAGGTGCTCGATCGGGTTTAAATCGGGGTCATGGCCGGCCATGGCATGGTTTGGATGTTGTGCTGGTGCAGGAAGTTCCTGGTGAGCCTGGCCGTGTGGGGCTCATAGCCGGCCATGGCATGGTTTGGATGTTGTGCTGGAACACGTGGTTCTGGTGACGTGCGAAGTAGGGAACGATGTAAGGTCTCAGGATCTGGTCAATGTAGCGTTGCGCTGTGATGCCATTCACCCTGCCAGCGCCAATATTGTGAAACACATGAGGGCCAATTCTCTGGTTCAGGCCTATGTATATTTTTGGATCTATCAAATATACAAAATTGTATATTTTTGATAGATGAGAATTTACCCTTGTGTAAACGATCAGTTTTCTTTCAATGCGATGTACTGTGACATTATAAATTGAGTGAGTGAGTGAGTTAACATTTTAAGTCACATCAGCAATATTTGAGCCATATCGTGACTATGAATAGTTAAACATAATACATATATTGAAACTTATATAAAGATTTGTCAACGAAGGACAGCAAAGTAACTAGATTTATCACAGAAAAAGATATAAAACTAGTACGGAATCATAAAATAGACTAGCACTCTACATAACGATACAAGATAAAAGCGGGCTATAGATCGCCAGCCACTGAAGGTAGATCACCATACTGGGGACCATGGGGACTTACAGTACCTTTGCTACCTGCATGGACCCCAGTAGGATATACATCATCCCTTCAGCAACTGGCGATTGTATGCAAAGTTAGCCACAAGTAAAAATACAAATATTCTCAGTTTAAAAGAGTAGTAGGCAGAAATATTCTTTGAATGACATGGACTTACGATATCCTCTCAGAGGGACAATAATTTTACACTACGTCAACCCCCTTTGAGGATACGGCCAGTAACAAACTCGACATTATAAAGTTGTATATAGGTAGATCTAATACAGTACTAGTCTATAGATGTAAACACATTTGATGATACATCTGTGTGTTAAAGTTGATTTTGACATACCGGGCCAAGTCGGGCCCAACACAAGTCAAACACTTCTGATAGAGACTATGTTGAGAATGGAGAGGGAAAGGGCTTCACTTTGAGCACCTTGTTTTCTTAAGTTATGTTAGAGTACAAGTGAATGAGGATGGTTTTACCCCACATTTTAGCAATATCACAGTAGTGGGGACACCAGAAATGGGCTTCATAAACTTTGTATCCATGTGACCCATGAAGATCCAGGATAGAATTGGTCTTCGGCAACCCAATCTTGTCCTAAGAGGCGATCAGGTGGTCAGGCTTGCTGGCTTAGTTGATGCATGTCATATGAGCATATCCCAATTGCACAGATCGATGCTCATGATGTCAATCCTAGGACTGTCTAGTCCAGACTTGATTATTTACAGACCACCATCATACGGCTGGAATATTAATGGAGTGCGATGTTAAACAACAAACAATAAAACTAATGAGTGTTTGTTGTTTAACACAAATAAGAAACAAATTGTATCCATGTGGGGAATCGAACCTGGGCATTTGGCTTGACGAGCAAATGCTTTAATCACTGGCTAACCCCCTCTGCCTCTTGGGGTATAAAGGGGGCAGTCATCTAAGGCGCTGCGATTCGCTGTGCAAGAGCTGTGTCCCTTGGGCACGCCAGAAACCTGATTGTGGGTTCGAATCCCAGCTCGCCCGATTATGTTTCTAGGTTTGTCAGCACCATACCCATGCTCGTAGGTTTCACCAAACTGATAAACGTCTGAGACGTGCACCACTTTGGGCTTTCCTCCCACATTAAGCTGACACGCCGTGATATAACTGGAATACTTTCAAAAGTGGCGTTAAACCCAACTCACTCACTCTTGGGGTATAAGTAGGGATGGTGGGCGTGACACGTGTCATGTCACCGAGAGAGGGGTCTCCCATAAAGTCTGTATCATTTCTGCCATGACAGGGCTGTCTGTTGTAACTGGAACCCTAAAGACTACATGTTAACTATTCTGCCACAGTTAGAAACATACTCTTGGAAATATGCTAAGCAGCGCCCTTTCTTTCTTTGCACATCCCAAACGGCATATATACATTGACACTGATGTGCCAAAGCAACCTGGCTGTGAGTGGGTAGGGATGTTGTGCCACTTTGGCCACTATGCCAGCCATATCAAGAGACCAGAAATGTGCCTCACTTTGTACCCATGTGGAGAATCAAACCAAGGCTGTAGGCATGACGAGTGAACGCTTTAACCACTTGATTACCCTGCTAAGGCCATGGCCACTTGATCACCCTGCTAAGGCCATGGCCGAGAGGCTGCCTGGACATTCAAGAACAAATAGCAAATTGAAATGTTTTAAAATAAATCTGAGAAAGCGACAGACGGAATTGTTCATGGTTATCTCACACTGATTAATATTTTGGGTTTGTGTAAATTTATGTCAGTATTCAATAACCGTTATCATCCAGAGACCTGGGTTTCCTGACAGGGTTTCCCTCTGGTGACTCCACCTGAATATGCATACTATGTATATTTGTTTTGTGAATCTATTCTAAATATGTAAAATTCAGTTCAGAGGTTTGAAGGATGTAGTGATGACAACAAACTGACATTGTGTTTATGTGTTTAATATACAAATCACAGTCACCCCGGAAACTCTGAGGTTC